TGCCATTTGAAAACACACACCGACCTGTGATTAACAGCTCTCACCTGCGCCGGGCAGGGGGGCGGAGCAGGGCGCTCCAAGTGCGTGCCGGCCAGGTGGTGCCACGTGGTGCAGCTGGGCCAGCAGTGTGCCGGTGGTGGTCTTCTGGGTGATGCGGCGGCAGGTCTTCCCGGGCGGTGGGGGTGAGCAGTCCGTCTCTCTGTGCGGCCGGCGAGTTAAAGCCCGCGGCTCCTCCTCCTCCACGGCAGGTCTTCCTGGGCAGTGGGGGTGAGCAGTCCGTCTCTTCGTGTGGCCGGCAGGTTAAAGCCCGCGGCTCTTCCTCCTCCGCACCGCTCCCCCTGAGCGGCACAGCTCTCACCTGCGCTGGAGCGGGGGGCAGAGAAGGGCGCACCGAGCGCATGCCAGCCAGGTGGTGCCACGTGGTGCAGCCGGGCCGGCAGCGTGCCGGCGGTGGTCTTCCGGGCGGCGCAGCAGGTCTTCCCGGGCGGTGGGGGTGAGCAGTCCATCTCTCTGTGCAGCCGGCAGGTTAAAGCCCGTGGCTCCTCCTCCTCCGCACCGCTCCCCCTGAGCAGCACAGCTCTCACCTGTGTCGGAGGAGGGGGGTGGAGCAGCGCACGCCGAGCGCGTGCTGGCCAGGTGGTGCCACGTGGTGCGGGTGGGCCAGCAGCATCCCGGGTGTCAGGCACACACACATTCACTCTATAAGACGCACAGACATTTCCTCTTACTTTTGAGGGAGGAAAAAGTGCATCTTATAGAGTGAAAAATACGGTAGTTATGGCTCAGGGGAAGATATATATTCCCACCTGCCCTTTCAATACTTCCTGTGCACCTCTGGCACAACATTCAAAGTTTACAGGGATGTCTTTCTCCAGTAGTACTGAACTGAGCAGTATGAAAAAGAACACTTTTTCTTCATTCAAACCATGTTCTTGCTCCTGCTCAGATCAGAACTAGAATTTGGTTGTGAAGACTTGGCCAAGACCAGCACAAAGCTAAGCATATGTGGTCGCTTGAGGAAAGGAGAGGAGCACAACTACGTGCCTTCTTCTCCACTTAAGCCTGAGGTTTGCTTCAGGCCCTTGTGTTAGTTGTCCTCTCTGTTGTGGATCCAGTGCCAGCCCACTACTCCTTCTGTGCCCCCTCTTGCTACAATTTGGGGAGGGAGTAGCAAGAGGGAACTTTCTATCCCCTGCTGTTTTTATGCAAATCTGGACTGGATTCTCTACAACCCATGGTATTAAAAGTAATTTAAAAACATAATTTCCTTTGGCATTGGACTATAATACTTTATCCTGTATGTAATATGCTACATCTAGAAGTTAATTTTGCAAGTTTAACTCTTGCATGTTGCTATTCTGCATCTTCATTAAAGTACCAACTTGCAGGCAGGAAGTATTTGCTGAGCCAGTCAGGAATGTATTTATGCTTGCAGGATGTAATCTCTCTTTCCCAGTATATTTGTACTATGCTACAGTGGTTATGGTACTGAACTTTTCAATATTTTGAAACCCTGAATGTGCATTAAAAAAGCAGGAAAAAAGAAGAGAATGGCTAATTCAAAGGAAGAAGCTGTTTTTATCACTGTTCTTTTAACCTCTTTGCTTCAAAAGAGTTATTGAATTGCAAAGGCAAGGCCTTTGTCACCCAAGACGCTTTCAAAGCAGCAACTTTCCCAGGGTGAAATTATCTCTCTGCTTTCTCAGCAGAGATGGCAACTGGCAATGTTTGCTCCACTTCTGAGGGTGAAATTGCCAGGGGGAGAATAAACATCTAGTGCGCCTCTGGAAGTTTTATGATGGGTGTTAGCTTCTCCTTGCTAATAGGGAGATGATCTGGAACAATCCCAAGCGAATGTGCCATGGAAGATCCAAAAAAACCCTAACCATCAGGTATTTTTATGTTTCATAAATGAAGACAAAGAAATCATGTTTGTCAAAGTCTAAGAGTGTTAGTTACCTTGTCATCACAGCAAAGAGGTGTTCTCCCTGCATCTTCTGCCTTAGGGAGATGAGCCAAATTGGATCGTTTTTCTTGAATATTTTTGTGTTGTCCATAACTGTTTCTTGGAAGGAGAGGAGTTTTGAAAGATTGTAAAAATATTTGTAAAAATGGACAGAATAAATCTGGCTAGATATCTATTGGAGTGTGCATTTCGGTGAGCATTGGAGTGCAGAAGGAAGCATGCACTCTAGTGTTATCAAGTGGATGTGTGTAGAGCGCAGTGTGGCTTTCCTGTAACTATCATTACAAATCTGCTTGGTTGCATGGTATAGTTGGTTTCACTGAAGGATCGTTGATCAGTTGAGGTTAAGTGGAGAAGAAAGAAGATGCCGTCTGTGCATGTGGGTGGGTAGGTTACTGTTTTCAAAGCATACTGATCACTAGGGGAGAAATCACTAATCACAGGGGAGGCGGGGATGGTGCAAAAAGTGAAAGCTATGGTCATGCAAACACACATACATCAACATTTGGCATATATCCAAGGTAACTTTTCAAAGGTAATTAGTCCTTTGCTAGTACCAAAGGATATCTTTAAAGGCAACTAAGAATTGTTTGTAAGAGACTGTTTCTATTTGTTTAATTCCTCACTGATGAGAATTAATAATTCAGTTCTTTTCTTCTTGGAAATTTTACAAAAAAATAAAAATTACAGTATTGACTAGAGACCCTTGGTTATAATTTGACATTCAGTAGAACATTCTGCTTTTGTATCTTCCTTCTTAATTGAAAGTATGAGTTTATATTGTGTGTGTGTGTGTGTGTGTGTGTGTGTGTGTGTGTGTGTGAAGGGCAAGATACATGTCTATTCAAATAAGCTTTACAATGAAGAAGTTGTAAAGGAGATCAACTCAGAATTTGAAAAGTAGGAGAGTTGAACAGTCTTGAATTGAGAAGGCAATCTTAAGAAAACTGGTTTTCAAGTTTCAGCGAGTCAGACAGATGTAAGTTTCAAACTGTGTGATTCTCTAGACAGTAACTTATACATTCTTTTGAATGTGGTTCTGTTGCTGTCTACTTACTGCATTTTGTAGTATTAATTAGTTCATCTTCATAATACTAGAACTAGATGGACAGGATGCATTGTTGCTAGTTGTGAATATGTTCTCGTTAAGAAGAAGTAGAGTAACTGATAGTGCTGTTATGCTACACATGGGAGGTATGGGGTGTGTTCCAGATAGTGTCAAGCATCAAGTAAATCTATTGAAATCATAACACTTAATGTTCATGACTGATCTAAGCTTGCAACATGTCTACCGTAATTAGACTAAATCAGGAATTAACCCTATAATTACTTAATTTTGCACTGGTTCATGTACAGGGGATTGCTTCTTTGATTTTATCCTTAAAAGCACTATGACTAAATAAAAACTGGTTGAATCTGCAACTAGTGGAGGTTAAGCAGCCAACATTATTAGAACCTTGTTGTCCAATAATTATGGAAAGTAGGTTGTTTTGGGAGAAGCTTCATACGTATTTCATAGAAAGAATGTAACGTGTGTTGTGGATAGATAACTATTTGGATGGCAGTAATTTAGATCCTGGATATGGAGTGGAAAAAACTTGTTAAAGATACTTATGTAGATTCCTCTGAGGTATGCAGATTCAAAGTACAGAGATTTTTCCTTCATGGAAGTTAGATAATCTCTTATAATTATGTGTGTGTTTTTGCATGTTTTACTGTTAGTGTCTATAAACATTTCATAAACATGGAAAGCTATTAAAGAAATGATTACAGTAATCTGATAGGTGAAACAACAAAAAGTGAAAGATTTGATATCTGTTACCTTTTAGTTCCTTTTATTTTGTTTAAGCTGTGATAACCTGCCATTGTTTGTTATTCTCCTGCATGTATATTCAGGTAGCTACCTTTTGATTGCTAGCCTAAAAAAAGCAGGTAATTATCTGTTTATTCCTCTACTTGCTTACTAGGGAGCAAGCCACACTGAACTCAGTGGACTTACTTCTGAGTAGATACATACAGGATTGTACTGCTAAATACAGAACTGGGTATGTGTAATGATTAAGGATTGATGCCTCCACTTTCCTTGCAGCTCTCCTGCAGATGTTGGGAACTTGTACTGGTTCTTTCATGCAAATAAACACAGTGATATTAACTGGCAAAAATTGCAATAACTGCTGTAGGTAATATGAGTATTTAAGATTTTAAGAAACTGGCATTGGTACAGAAAATGTGAAGTTACAAAATGCACATGTTAAGAAGGACCTTCTGAATGGTTAATACTCATCTCTGTTACAAAGAACATAACTAACAATGATTCAAAACTTTTTTGACAAAAATATTTAATTCATTTACCCAGCAACAAACTGGTTTTTCCCAGAAGATTCAGGAGAGTGATGAAATTCATCAGAAGCTGTATACATTACATAATACTTACATGCAGGGACTGGATCATGTTGGGTATATGCATATTTGCCTGAGGGTCATTGCAGCATGGAATTTGTAGTATTTTAAAATGTGGAAACACTACACACACACACTGCTTGTTTATTTCATCTAGTTTGCATTGCATCTGTAACTTTTAAGGTGGACAAATAGTTGTAGCACCTGTATGTGTGTGTGTGTGTGTGCGCTTGTGTGCCTGTGTGTGTGTGTGTGTGTGCATGCACATTTAATTGCCATTTAAAGGAATAGCTTTGGATTGGGCAGAGTTTTTAAAGTATCTAAGAGGTACAGAATGCATGTTACAGTAATTCAAATGCATTGAAACTCCTAGGATGTTTGTGTGCAATGGGTTTGTAGAATTTTGAAGAGCTTAGAATTTTTAGAGTAACATTCAGGTTGGTTCATTTTGCGTTAGTGCCATTCCTAAACAAGTGCTTCTTTTTCTGTCACCCATCACATACAAACAGCAAATGTTATTTTCCCTAAATTTTATTCAGATTAAAGCCTTTATTCAGTTCAGAGCCGAATTTCTCTGCTTCTATAAATGGTCCATTTTTTTTACATAGTGCACTGTCATGATAATTGCACTTGCATGGATTGATTTAATGGGGAAACATATCTAGATCAATGATTTTATAAAATATTACGTACTAATATTGCAGAAACCAAGGTAAAATTATCCTTAATTTGACCAGGAATCTATCCCCTTCTTTTAGAACTCCTGTATTAGATGTGGGGATAGAACTGGAGAAAACAAATTTCTTTGTATATCCTAAGAAAGCACTTTAGCTTTCCACCATTATGAAGGATGTAGTTTCCTGAACACTAAGGTGTTCCTCAGTATGTGGAATGAGGAGATGATATTCTGGTAAGTTTCTTTCAACATCTCGCAATGACATGTGCCTAACAAATTACAAAAGCAGTAATTTGTCCATTTTGTCAGAAAAAATGCCTCCTAGTAAGGAGCTGTTGTAAAATAATATGCTCTGAGATGCGTTTTAATGCTGTGTTATTTGCAAAAGTTTGTTTGGTATCTCTCAGTTCTACAGAGAGCAATCTATGTCTAGTTTTTTATTATATAGTGTACCAGTTTTGTACTGAAGCATTAGATTAGTCATCATAAGTAATTAAGAATTTCATGTAAGAGAGTGAGCAGGCTGGCAAAAGGTGGCTAAACCATTTAGGAAAGAAAGTATCTTTTTCTCAGTGACTATGATAGAAATGGAGTATATTGAAAGATGGGAGCATAGTTGTTCTGCCCCTTCTCTACCAGTTTGCTTGATAGAAGTTAATTTTTACTAACTTAGAAACATAAGAAGCTTCCAGACCCAGAGTCGGACCACTGGTCCTTATAGTGCAATATAGTTGACACTGACTAGAAGCTGCTCTCCAGGATTTCAGGCCCTACATGGCAATACTGGGCATTGAACTTGGGACTTTTTACACGCGAAGCATGTGCTGTCCCATGGAGCTGTAGTCTTCCCCCATAACTTGCTTTGTGGCTAGTAAGCTGTTTCTGTTCAGGACATGGAGGAGGCTTTCCATCCTGTGCCATCAGCCTGAAATTGTAAACTACAAGCTTCTTAGGAGACTAGAAAGCATTTTTGCAGACTAGTAACTTCTGTGGCAGTATTTATAAGATTGTACTATACTGTTACGCACTTATGTCTGCCCCTCAATGTTAAAAGAGGTCTGAAGTAAATTTGTCAGAAGTAAATACAACCAGACTTAGAGGTGTTAGTATTCTTATGAGGAATCTGAAGAAAGTTATATGGCAAAATATTCCAGGTTGGAAAGTCTTCTTGATGCTGTTGAATTATAAATTATGATAGCGGTGTATGATAGGAGAAGTAAATATATTCATAAAAGAAATAGTGTATAATATTTGTTAATATACAGGACTTATTCTTTCATCTTAGTTCTGATATTTCTACTCAGCAATAAATCATCATAACTCCCCCAAGAATGTTGCATCTAAACTCCTCCAGAAGTGTTACATCCAATACCAGTATGTGATACTCTCAAACTTTTCACTTTATCAGCACCATCTTCTAACCATTTATCTTCTTTCTTTCCCAGCATTGTATTAAACATATAGCCACATGCTTTATATGATGGTGGAGTCTTCCCACTCAGATAGATGTTGGATTTGGAAACCAGTAATTATTGTTCCCCAAGTAGGTTTTCCAGCATTTCCAGATCCTAAAATCATAGCACTCTGCAAATAGGGATTAACAGAAGTCACAACTTAACTCTCACTGTTTGCACAGATTGTAGTTTTGTTTCCTTTCTTTTTGTACTAATTTATTAGAGCTAGTGTCCATAGAGCTTGTGGAACTGAGACCCCTAAACATATTTTCAGTTACAAAATATAGCTCAGGATGTTTTCAAGTTTGGTTTTGTAAGAGTGTAGTATAGTTTAGTATTTATCCACTGAAGTATTCTTATATCTCTGAGATAGTGTTGTGTGGCTACTTATGTCAGATAAGTTTGTCCAGTGTAAGAACCCATGAATAATCCATACGAAAATGCAGCACAAATCTGAGATGTCCCAGAATTCTGGTAAAATAATGCTTTACATTATGAGGTAGGGGTTCTCAGTTTAAAAATAAACAATAGTATCATGTTCTGCAATTCTAAGCATGCAGCAAAGGAAATGTAATAATAAAAGTTATGATCCTGTAGTGAGCCTTGTTAGAACTTTAATCACTCCCATAGCACTTTTAGTCTGCAAAGTGTTTTAAAATTCTTATCTGGGTCATTCTCATTTTGCCATTGGAAATTGTAGGTTAACAGTGCAGTCCTATGCAGGTCTACTGAGTTCCTCTTGGAGTTCAGTGGGTTTATTCTTCATTAAGAGTGTATGGGAACTGCAGTTTTAGGCTCAGGTCTTATATGCACTTACCTAGAATTAATTCCCACTTAGCTCAGTTGGACTTATTTCTCCGTTAGCATACATAGGACTGCACTTTTAGAGATAATAACTTGTCCAAGGTCATCTAAGAACTTCATAATTTTGAACCCAGGACCTGAGTTGCACATTTTCCTCATTAAATCATTACTGAATTTTTAAAGCTTAAGTTTGCAAGTAAATGAATTGCAAAGTAAACAAGTATATTTGATGTTTTAGCATGCAAATGTAAAACCTAGGAAGCACTTGATATCCTCAGCCAGTGCATCCCAGCTACATTCTTGAGTTAGAGGAAGTGAGATTGTCTTGAAATGTAGCCAGGTTGGGTTTTCTTTTGTTTTGTTTACATTCCAGAATTTTGAAACTGGTTTGCCTTACTGGCTTCAGCAAAGTTTTTTGCTTTGTTCCACCCTAACTCAGTGCTTGCTTTTTACTGACATTGCATTTCCAGTTTGAGGTGTTTTGTTTCATCTGCATCTGCTTGTGCTGCTTCCTTTTGGAGTTTTCTTTGGGAAGCTGCTGGGAATAGAAGCCTACCTGGGTGCAGAGGGGCATCTGACACAACTTGTATAATATTTACATGGAAAATGTCTTTCTCAAAGGCTCTCGGTGCCCCATGTTTTACAGTACATGAACAGTTGGCTAGTCCAGGTGTTTCCTCTTCTGTTTGCGTGATATGTGAATTGGAAATTCAAGAGAAGAGTTGGCAGAATGGAAGAGCTGAGGGTTTGTATTTACCTATTCTAACTGCTTAGCACATAGGAGGGTTTTGGGGCTCAGCAAATTTCTACTTATCCCTTCTTCTGGTAAATTATATTTATCATGGGCATAAAATTACCAGAGCATTAGTGTCCTAACTGTGCTCTAAAATATAAGGATTGAGCAGTTTCTGTTCTTTAAATGGAAGCTTTGTGGCACTGCATTACCATAATGTGGGTTTAAACAGTACTATCTTAGACATTTCAGCTTGCAATGCAATTACATTTCAAGTTTACTATGCATGTTTGGTCAGGAAAAAACCTATGTCTCCCAGCAATCCCTGGCCAACATGACTGGTTTCTGCCTAAAAATGCATAGGATTGCAGCCTAAATTTCATGTTTTGAAAGTTTAACTCACTTTAAACAACCACCACCACTACTACATTTAAAGACAACTGGCTGCAATTTTTTTGGTGACATTGTATTTTATTCATTCTTAAATGTTAATTTGAGAGTTTTATTGCTAGCTTTTCTAAAACAGGAAATCAAATTGCTAATGGTGTTTGTGTCTTTTCACAGGACAGCCGGCCCAATATGTCAAGACCTCTGATCACTAGGTCCCCTGCATCTCCTTTGAACAATCAAGGCATTCCCACACCAGCTCAACTCACAAAATCCAATGCACCGGTACATATTGATGTGGGTGGGCACATGTATACCAGCAGCTTGGCAACACTTACTAAATATCCTGATTCAAGGTAATTCTAAAGAATATGTTATATGTCTCTGGTAGCTCTGTTAGTTTGCTCACTTCTTTCCCCTGACCTCTGTGATACACCTTTTATCCAATGTAAAAACTTTTCACTAGAAAATGTATCCTGCATTTCTGGGAGTAACATAATACTTAGAAAATGCTTAACTACATGAAAATACAAGAGTGGATGTTGCTTCTTTATTCAGGATTTGCTTGGCTCTGTCAAATTACCTACTGACATCACTTGTACACTAGCCCTTTAAGCTGTATTCTCTTTATTTCCACATGCTAAAGTTTGTCACACCTTCTACACAAAACCTTTATGTCCTGCTGGTTGTCTATTTAGCACATGAAATAACTGCTTGGGTGAACCTGGTTTGTTTTTGCTTTTCCATCTGCACTTTCTTTGTATAGTCACCAGGATGTCTAGAACTCAGTGCAGGAATCAAGCACCTGCCAAGTCACTTTCCCATACCCTGAAACTTTCTCTTGCTGTCTGTATCACAGTTATCTAATTTGATGGAGGGAAATGTTGTTTCTGCCATTAGCCTACTCTATACCAGGATATTCCTCAAACCAACAGTATGTAGACCTTTCTGTTTAGAACTATTGAGCCAGCAACCAGTACTGCTTTCACTATAATACTGCATCCTGGGGATTCCAGCATGCAGCAACCTTGTGAGACCTTCTCCCTGCTAACACTGAGGGCATAGCTGGCAGCTGGAACTTCTGAATCCAGCACATGGCAGGGAGAAGAGAGCAAAGAGGCTGAAAGTAGCCTTCTCCTTCTTGTGCACCCCTTCCATACTGCATAAATTGTCATTAGCACGCCACTTGCCTTAAGACAACACTGAACCCAAGCTAGCTTATATTCTCCCAAGAAATTCCTAATGAAAAATATTTATTTTCTTTTCTTTATTTATTTTATTCATTTATTTAAACCATTATGCTGCCCCATTCGCAAAAAGCCTCGGAGCAGCTTATAACATTCATAAATAAACATAAACAAACAGTTATAAACAGTTTTATCATATTTTCAGATGTCCAAAAATATATCTGAGCAATGAATGGCATAAAAAATAAAGGCATTTTAGAGTAATAATTGTTACCTAATACTTTTGCATAATTCTGTACTAAGGTATTATTGTTAGCAGGTATAAAAAGCATATAATTACTCAAGCTATATAAGTTTCAAACATACGTGTTTTGGTAAATCATACAAGTTATTTGGGAAATTCCAAATTGTATATGTTAATAGTAAACTAATAACTATCCAGGTGTCTTGGGTAGTAGATAATTTAAAACCTCAAAATAGTTTTTATTAAAAGTTAGTGACTGAAACTACAGATGGCCCACTGATCTTCATATGTGTATATTTGAGGGCCTTGTTGCTACTCAGATGATCAGCACTGCCAATATTAATCACCCAGTTGTCATATAGCAAACAACCCATAGTGCTTGCATACCTGTACACTCCCACTTCAATAAACAGCTGAGGGATGCTCCACCCCAGTTTCTCTCTCATAACATATGTACCAAGAATTATGCTTTGTTGGGGACAAATAACCCAAAGTTTGAATTCATGATCAAAAGAGGAGTCACTGTTGTTTAGCTCTACTCCACAGCAATGGAAGCAGGTAGGCAGGTAGGAACTAGAATGCTTGCTTTTTCTACTGCATTTTCAGTAACCCATAGGTAGTAAATATGCAAAATGAGCTATTGAGCATGATGGGTTAGAGAACAGAGATTGAGTTCCTATAGTCAAACCTCTTTCCCCTTATATCATATAAATAGGTCACTGGACCAAAATGGAATGTATACTATCAATTGACATTTCAGTTTCTCATCTAGCTGGATCTTCATGTAGGAGTCATGGTTCATATCCCTGTTTGCTTAATCAAAGTGAATATAAACTGGATATGGAGAATTGTGTGTAGTTAAAATAGAATTGACTTAAATATATAAAGGACACAGATTTAACAATGTAATCAGCTGGTGGCATCTACAGCGATCAATGTATCGCTTAGTCTCAGGAATTACACTTTTAATTGTAATACCTAGAAAAACCTGTTGGGTCAAGTTCAGTAGTTCTTGATGGTAGTTCACCATTTATTGGAAGGAAAATAAAAAAAATCAATTCTACCTGTCCACAAATTGCAGACATTGTACTTTGCATAATCAAACATTAGTGGAAAACATTCTAGCCTTTTAAAAATCTGATTATAATAAGATTATAAAATAAAATCAACAAGTCAGATGCTATACAATTGCAGTTTTGTATTGGTAGAGAATATGTAAGTATAACCTAACCAAGTGGAATAGGAATGGTTGTAAAATGCACAGTGAAGGCTTGACTGATTTGGCCAAACCACAGGGTCCTCTGGCTATATTGTTTCCTTCCTTCTTTGCTACCAGAAGTCAGTCTTGGAAGGGTTCTACACAGCAGAAGTCATCATTTTACCCAGTCCTACCTTTAGAATACCAGTTTTTTGCTAGCCTAATAATATTTTCATTTTATTTATATGAGTTGGTATAATTTAGTTACACGTCCCATGGATTCAGTTTTGGTCATGACTCATCAATGCTGAAGAAAGATAATAAGTCATATAGTTACTGTTCTGAGAAATCTTTTCTAGCCCCAGTGCATGAATTTGGTTTCAAATGAAATAGCTTCTGCTTTTCTAGTCTTTCCTAAATTGCTATATAGTTGCTAAGCACTTTAATATGTCAAACATGTATAATTGCAGGACTAAACAGACTCGGCTTATAGCTTTGCAGCCAATACCCATGGCCACCCAAAGGGCATGTTTGACGCTCCAGGTTATGACTGCCAAGTTACAGAATGTTTCATGTTGGCTTTGGCCCACTTTGCCTGCTTTGCATTTGGAAAAGTTTGTCACTTGTGAGATTAGTTTCCCAGGGTTTTGTTAAAGAGGAGGCATGAAGTGATCAGGATCCTTCAGATTTGATGCCACAATCTTCAAATGGGTATTTTGGCCAATAAAGCCTTACCTGTTCTTTTGGAGTGCAGTCAGGACATGTGTGCTTCTCTCTTCGTAAGTTCTGTGCATATTGGCTTTCTGTTGTTAGCTGACATGCAGGTAGTCTTGGACCTTGCTCAAGGCAGCACATTTTGCTGAACACCATGGGTGCTTCTGAGAGCATAATCCAGTGTCCCTTTTAGTTAGTGATGGGTGAATTTACTCTGAGGGAGCTTGTTTTTTAATCATTTGAGAGTGGGTTTGGATGAGTGGTTGCCTTCAAAGTGACTTCTTCTGTGTAAATGAGCTCTTTCATGTACAGAGTGTTTCTGGGGAGCAAGTGCCTTATCGGAGTAAGAGATGTAGCAATGACTGATGTCAAGGGAAGCTGCTAAGGAGATGGTAAAATGACAAAATTGGGGTGAGGGTATTGCCACATCCTCTTTCTTGTGTAGCCAGAGTGGTAATACATATAGGACAAGTGAAAAATGGGGGCACGAGCACAACTGAGTCTTTCAGCTTCATGTCAAGCCAGAGTGGTAGTGGCAAGGGAGGAAGCAGCACCAGATTAGGCAAGAAAGAGGTTAATCCAACCAGTGCAGTGCACACACGGAAATATTGTTCAGTTACAGATTGCACATGCTCAAGCTTGCTGCTAATTCAAAACTTAATAATAAATTTTTAAACCTCTGATCTAGGTTCCTTAAGAGGTGAGCACTGCAAGTGGGTAAGGTTTGACCCATGAACAGGTTCATTACAAAATTTGACAGCATCACTGGTTCTAGACCTATGAATTTCAAGGAGGTTAAGCTTGCTTACTTTGAATTTAATTATACTGTGCTATTGAGGTTATCAAATTCATTTGCTACCATTGACATGGCAAGCATCTCTTCCCTTTTGATGAACATGTAACTGAGCATGAGGATTATCCCTGTTGTCATGGTTGTGCCTCAATCATGTTTTAAGTTCCTCCAAAGTTCAACATGATGTCGGAGATAAAAATTTCCCTCTCCTAGACCTTGAGGGAAGGCTAGGGTCAGTGCCAAGAACAGACATTGGCTAGCTACCAAGCAAACAAACAAAACCTGGCCATGTGCTTGGCCAACTATAGTCTTGTTTTCACACTTTCCGCCTTATCTTTTCCAATATTTGAATCCCTTGCACTGACATTGAAAGTCTGTGAGTTTTCCTTTAAACTACAGAATCAATTATTTGACTTAAGTATCAGTTACAATCCTGGCTATTGTTATTGTCCCAACTTGTTCCTGCTTGTAACTTGCAATTTCCTTTCAGTTGTGTAGTTCTCATCATGGCATGTTCCTGTACATTTTCTACAGCATTGTTTTTTGCTGCTAGCTTTCTTCCTAAGAATCATAGAAAGTACCCTAATGCTGAGTCAGACCACTAATTTGTCTAGCCCAGTATTGTCTTTACTGACTGGCAGGGATTCCAGGGTTCAGGCAGAATTTCTTCTAGCCCTACCTCACCTGGAAATGCCAAGGATTGAACCTGGGACCCCCGGCTTGCAAAACATGTCCTCAGTCAGAAAAACTGAACCTTTGGAGGTCTAGTAAATGACAAGAAGTAGGCCATAAATTAAATAACAAGTATAATATTTCTGATCTTAGGAAAATTGATCTGCAACAGGCTTACTAGTGAAAACATGTTACAATAATATCAAATGTAACTTCTGACTGACTAAATAAACTTTTATTAACACTACATAACAAACTTAGCAATTAAAGTCTCAATTTTGTATCTTTTGTCTTTTCATCTTAGCTAAAGACAGTTGAGAGACAGAAAGATGCTTGCTCTCTTCAGTTATGGCAGGTGGGTAAATGAGAAAGTAGGGCAGAGAGCTATCTGTGGAAAAATAGTTGGATACCGTAGTAGTTGCAGTTGTAACCGTTACTTTCTCATGATCTTTGTGGCAAGCAGATAAGAACCTTTCATTAGTAGTCCAGATGAATCAGTTGGGCCTTGCTATGTTTGAGCCAATTGATTCTTGGGAAGTCCTGGTTTCTGACCTACGTGGTTCTTTGGAATGTTTGCAGCTTCATTTGACATCCTCCATATTGGTTGAACTTTTAGTGCATTTGAGCTCTTTTGTGCTCCTGTTGCTAGAATTTGCCTGCAGTCATTTAAATTGGGCAGGATTTCCTGTCAGGGTTCCATTTCAGGAAGGGAAGGTAGATCCTCTGTGTGTGGGAGAAAGACAAGGAGAAAGTAGTTTCTTGAATATAATTGTTGCAGTGTCAGGAGATTGTTTAATATGGTCACAGGGTATAACAGCTTGCTCCTTTATATATAGAAGTCATGATCTGGTTTGCATAGTAACTGCTTTTCCTTTTATCCTCATTAGTGGTAGCAATTAATTAACACACTTGTGCAACTAGATATTATGTCTCAAATACTAAGACAATATTTTGTAGCCTTAATCAAGGACAATAATTTGTGGCCTTACTCAAGGAAGCATAACCACACATTCTAAATAGCAAACACTTCCAGGCCACAGAGTGTCCCTGCTGAAAAGCAGATCCAAAATTTGCCTGGCCTTGTTTTAGATTCTGCTGAAAGCTCTGATCAAGTTCATTAATGCTCTTCTAGGGTCCTTTTACCCATCTGAAAGTTGATTTATTTTTAAATGGTTTAAGAATATGCTTCAGGGCTTCACAGTTTATATTTTAAAGAATGAAATCTCTTCCTGTCTTGGAGCAGCACAAATAGTCAATACTAAATTGACGAATGATCCTTTAAGTGTATCTATCGAATCCATTATCTTCAGGCCCCTGTGTGAAATGCTTTATCAAAAAATCATCATCTTGATGATACTCCGCAGAAAAAAGAACCAAGGAAAAAATGGATTGATACTTCCCCTCCTGCCCCTTGTAAGGAGAGTACTAAAATCATTAGGGTAAGCTGTATCAGCTAGGAGGATACATATTGTACCTGACTGAGCTGGGACTGCTTTCATTTTTTGCAGTTATATCTCTATTGCATTCAATCGGTTTATAAATAGAAACTGTTTTATGTTGCAAAAAAATCTTTATTTATTTATTTATAAAATTTATATGCCGTTCAATTACTTGTATCTCTGGACGGCTTACAACATAAATAAAATTGACAATCCAATAAGGTGTAAATTATTCACACGTAAAACTTAAAGCCTTGTTAATGTATATTTATGTCAGGGACAACAGTAATCTTTCAATTATCTCTTTTGGATAATAGATATAAATTAAAGAGACTAAATAATGCATCCTGTCTTTCTTGCAAGTAATTGAATAGATGGATAGAGATGATAGCTTCAGTTAGGCTTTCTGCATCTGAATTACTTGACTTTTCCTGGGAATACTAGGATTAGACAAAATATGACGATTTTTACTTACTTCTCCTGCAAGTTCATGCAGCTCTAATTTGGATTGGGATCATGCTACTGTAAAAAGTTTTCTGTCATCCTTTTCTGCTCTGAAATTCCATCCCTCCACACCTGGAAGGATGTTTAAAAAGAAAAAAAGAACTTGATTCCAAATCAGCTAACCAGTTGAGTCCAAACTGGCAAATCAGTAACTAAAAGTAACCCATATAGCTCTACTACATGCTTAAAGGAATGTTTGGTTTGACCCTTAGCATTTGAAAGAACAAGCTATAAAAGAAATCCATTTATACTTGAAATTTTAATATGAGTATCTTACCATGCCAAATCACACGTGTGTTTAATGCATTGTTCCTTTCCCATGTCTTATGGTTTTGATTCTCCATGATTTTTCATAAGTTATAATCTGTGCATTTTGCTTTCACAGTTTTATAAGGAAATGCACCGGCAGCTCTTAAGTACTGTTTCATATGTTATATTCCTTTGAGCAACAATTAAAAGGACAACTATGGAAGTTATTAAGATAGTACAAGGTATTCTCAGGAAGAGAATAATTTGGGGAAATCTCAAGAGATCATAGAAAACCTTGGCAGACAGAATAACTAGGAACTGGACCAAACAGAACAAAAGTTTATTTGACATCAGATCTGTAAATACCTGAAAATCTAGAAGACAAAAAAGAGTGGGGAGTAGGAAAGTTTGTCAGGATACAAGAACAGGGCTGGAGCATGGAACCAACTGAGAAGGCAATATGCATATCACAACAGAGTTGACCTTCAGTATTTTAACTATCAGTATCAATCCTAGCCAAGGTTCACAGATAATTTTACATTAAACTTGGAACTACCAGCAGCTGATAAATCACTTCTCTTTTCTCTCGCTACAGGCTTTGTTGAGGCCTGTTTTAGCATTTTAAGTTGGCCAGTGCTAAAAATCCTAGCCAGCTCAAATCTGTTAAGAAAAAAAGGGAAGGAACTGTCAGATGATTGCCTACAAACTATTCAATTAATTTATCCACTGTTTTTCTCATAGACTTTATATTAGCCTCCTGTTTTTGATCATGGACAGTCACAAAAAAGAAAAAACAGCAGTGGAAGGGTTGCAGATAAAGAGAAGTAGCATTCTTTCAAGACACAGGGTTGTTCTATCATCACTATGAACTGTGGCAAGATGTGTACTAAGTGAAGTGTGGGTAGAAGCAATGTTGGCTGGATAGTAGAGCCCTTTAGATCCTGTTCCATTATAGCTCCTTTAATATGATAGGCTTTCTCCATGCCTTGCCTTGTTGATGGCTGCTAAGACATTCCAGACAGAAATAATGATAGGGTAAGTAGAAAGCAAAATTATATGTAAGATCCATCCTTTTTATTGTTTTCAGTCACTTTTAGTATGAACAATACTTGGAGAAATATGTCCTTCTGTAGAAGTATCTTAGATGTTGACAGATGTCTAAGAGTTCAATTCGATCCACTTTATTTGTAAATATTCTTCATTCATTCATTCATTCATTCAGTCACTTAATAACTTTCTTCAAAGATAGTTTTCCCAATATAAATCTTAGATCTTGTTATATCTGTGAACAATTCATTTGCCTCTTGGGTTGTATTTTGAGTTTGTACAGCCAGTTTTGAACAGGAGAAATCTAAGCTGGGTGACTTAGGCAAGTTCTTGCTCTTAGCCTAACCTGCCATATGTATTTGTGTGCATGAAACAAGAAAAACCTATGAACATTTACTTGCTTCTAGTATTTTATCTCAGTGCTGATGTATTTTCATGGGAGAAGTGCTATTGTTAAAAGTAAATGTGGCACAGAGATAAGTTATGAACGTTTAGAAAAATATTTCAAACTATTGAAAAAGAAACGTCACTATTATTAACATTTCATTTTAATAATAGTATTTTCCCAACTAGATATAATAGCACTGAACATAAACAAATGAACTACTAGAATCAAGCAATTAAGGTAACTGTGGTCAGTGACTGAGGGCATTCTCTCCTAATAATGAGTTACTAATACTGCAAATTGATACTGGGATCCTCCTCTTTCATTTTCAGAATTGGGAGACTTTTTGATGGCACAGAGCCAATCGTTTTGGACAGCCTGAAGCAGCACTACTTCATTGACAGAGATGGCCAAATGTTCAGATATATCTTGAACTTTCTACGAACATCTAAACTCCTCATACCAGATGATTTCAAGGTAAAGTTTTATTCACTACCACCTTCATATTGTTTGAAATGTTTAGTGCACAGGTAGTTTGAATAATCAGAACTACAAAGTGAAAGAGACAATGTCTCAGGGCAGATCTCATTCAAATGTTTAGAGAATTTTAACATCTCTAGTCCATTATAGGAGGTAAGTGTTTATCATGCCAATGCTGTACTAGTAGTTTTTTGGCTATCGAACAGCCACAGAGTATCAGTTTGCACTGATCGTATGTTAACTGCCAGGAAGGAGGCAGAACGTTTAAGAGGATATGTACATCAGTAAATATGAAAAAATGCACTAATATGCAGTTTACCTATTTATTGATTTATTTAAAACTTTTCTATACCATCCCATTACAGACGTCTCGGGATGGTTTAACAGATTAATACAATAAAATAAAAACAAATATGAGTAACACTTCCATCTAATGGCCTCTTCCCGAAGAGAGACACTTTTGGGCATCACCAAAACATTAAAGAAGCTTAAGGAAGCATTATCTCTGCTGCATTTCCAGCAGTTAGTGAACTTAGATGAGCTCTTTTTAAAGAGACGTTGTGCCCAATAGGCACAGAACAAGAGTTGCTAACCTGAGTTTCATAAACACTTCAGACACAGGCACTACAGTGATAGTCCAATTCCCTATTCCAGTCCTTCTTTAGACACTGAATATCATATTTATTCAATATTAGTAAGTATTTATGGAACCTGGGTTGACATAACTGATAGGCCTCAATAAGTGCTTCCAATAAGTGAAGGAGCCTCTGTGGCAGAGCCAATCCTAGATTCTAGTAAAAGTTACATTCACAAACATTGCCATTCAGCTGTAGTGGGCAAGTCATATTTGACACACAAAGCTGAAAATGGCAAAGACCAATCATCATCATCACCCTCTAACTGATCCAAGTACTTAACCAAGTATTACAAGAACATTTTCTTATCAATTCAATATGTACTGACATGACATTTATACACCATTCTTCCCTGGCATCTGGAGAAACCAAACCCATTTTAGCAGTGTATGAAGAACCTAGTTGTTATATGCCACCCACTTGGAGGGAAGATTCAGATATAAAGATTCCAAAACTCTTCAGAATGGAAAATCTAAGTGAAAAAGACCAACATTTAATACAGGTCAGCAAATAAGCCTGATGATGTACAGTGAGATCTGTAAAGCCACAGTTCAGAGTTGCATTTTTTCCAAGGACATGTGTCATGGGGAAAAATCTCTACCACCTCCCCCAGTTTATGAAACAAAGCATTACATTTTTGAAAATATTTTCCAGGTACAGTTACAAGAATCCCATATTCAAAATAAACAATCTGAGTACCGTGTATTTACATTATCTCACATATTCAACTCTAAAAATGGTAGTCTATCAAAATCCTGTGAGAGCTTATTCTCCAAATTAGGCTTAATTATTTGAGATATGTCTCTGATAATAAGTTTCTCCAAATAAGTCTGGGTACTATTGACATTGCCAGTTAGTCACACTACACTACAGTATCCCTAATAGGCATCAGTTCATATTGTAACAATTACTTGAATAGCTAGACAAATTATCAAAAGTGTTAATGAACTGCTGGAACAGATAATAAAATCATCAGCATAAATAATTTAAATTGTAAACTATGATGTGCAAATCCATGACTGTGATTATTCTGTATATACCAGAGGTTCTAAACATAAGCATCAAAGGAGGAAGTGGACATCCCTGACTGGTACCTCTTAGAAGTGACAAGAAAGGGGTGTGGAGGAAGGCAGCCCTTGGCACTGCTTAATGCCAACTCATTTCAGACATTCTGCAGGAAGCCAAAATAATTTAGTATGCCAAAAACAACTTCCCAATGAATTTTGTCAAAGTGATTTCTAGTACTCATATTCCAAATTGCTTTTGTAATTTCCTGAATATACAAACAAAGGGAAAATGCTGTGGAGAAAGATCTAAGCACAGAAGATCAACATAGGAATGTTTCACTTCCAATGCTATACAAAGTAGAATAAAACTTTAAAATTGTGAATTTATATCATAGATATATAAAATTTATATTACCATGACATCCTGATAAACTAACAAAAAGTAGACTCGACAGAACAGCTATTAGGTGGATCCACAACTACAAAATCCGTCACAGAGGGTGCTATTCGGTGGCACCTTCTCAAGCTGGAGTGAGGTAACAAGTGGGGTGCCGTGGCACTCAGTTGTGGGTCAAGTGCTCTTCAACATCTTCAGTGATCTAGATAAGGAAGTCCAGGGAACAATAATTAAATTCACAAATGATACAAAACTGGGCGGAATAGCTAACACCCTGGGAAACAAGAAGAAAACCCAGGGTGACCTAGATCTAGGTCTAGAATGCTGGGCGGAAAGCAACAGAATGAAAGTCAACAGGGACGAATGCTAAGCTCTCCACATAAGGGGAAAAACCCAAATGCAACAAGACAAGATGAGGAATACTTTGCTCAACAGCCCTGAAAAAGAAAAAGAGTTGCTGTGGACAACAAGCTAAATATGAACCAGCAGTGTGATGCAGTCATAAACAAGGCAAACACTATTTTGGAATGCATAAATAGAAGCATCACTTCTAGAACAAGAGAAGTACTAGTTCCTTTTTACTCAGCACTTGTCGGAGCTCCGCTGGAATACTGTGTTCAGTTCTGAGCACTCAGGTTTGAAAAAAGATGCAAAAAAAAACTAGGAAGGATTCAGAGGAGGGCAATGAAGATGCTCTGAGGGATTGAAACTAAGCCCTATGATGAGCAGCTGAGAGAGCTGGGCATGTTTACCCTCAAGAAGAGAAGACTACAAGGGTATATAACACCTACAAGTACCTCAAAGGCTGTCACAAAGAGGAAGGACAAGACCTCACTCATCCCCAAGTGTAGGACACAGAACAACAAACTTAAACTGCAGTATACAAACTGCCCATATATGCCCGCCCGCCCCTTGAGATCAGCAACGGATGCCCTTCTCCGGGAACCCTCTGTGAATGATATTAGGAGGGTGAGTACCCGGAGGAGGGCCTTCTCTGCAGTGGTGCCCCACCTATGGAATGCGCTCCCCAGAGAGGTTCGCCTGGCGCCGTCGTTATTTGTTTTTCGGTGCCAGGCTAAGACCTTTTTATTTAAAACTTATTTGAAGTGTTAAATTATTGAATTAATTAGGATTTTAAAATTTTTAGCCGAGAATGCACCGGGGGTTTTTTAAACTTTTTTTTAAATTGTTATATTATTATTATTATTTATGTATGTATGTATTCTTTGTGAGCCGCCCTGAGGCTTTGTTGCGATGGGGGCGGCATAGAAATGTTTTAAATAAATAAATCTACCAGATTCAGGCTAAACACCAGGAAAAACTTTCTGTCAGAGCAATACGACAGTGAAACCAATTGCCAAGAGAGGCTGTGGTCTCTCTCACACTAGACGCATTCAAGACAAAACTGGACACTCATCTGAATAGCATGGTGTGACTTGGCATCATGCAGTAACAGCGAATTGGACCCAATGGCCTTCTCAGCTCCTTCCAACCCTACTATTGTTATGAATCTATGGGAGAGGTATATATCATATTACTCTCACCTTTAGTAGCTGAAATGAAAGTGTGATTTTTTTTCTTAGGCTTTGAAACTCTACCTCAATAGCATGGAGTCAGGATAGCTGTTTTCCTGTTGCCCCTCATTGCTGTCAGTGGCAGTGATCTGTTAATATACTTACTGGGCTGATTAGCCTGGCAAAACTGCCTGCCCCTCAACTGGAATATTTTTCAATTCTGTCTGGTGCAGGAATGAGTGGTAGATCTTACTCTTGCTTCCCTAGCAGCCCGTCAGGATTTCTCTAGATGCTATCAAAATCCAGTTTATTCCTGTTGAAATTAATGAGAAATGAAACTGTCAACACTTAAGCTAGTTGGGTCCATCCTTTCTGCAGCAACTTAAAAACATAAGAAATGCCAAGCTTGGTTGGACCAGTAGTCCATCTAGTTTAGCATTTGCTCACACAGTTTTATACCATGGATATTATATATCTCTATATGTTTGTATATAACAGAATATACTGCTGTTATAATATAATTATGTGTAGACTTTAACAAAGGCTTCAGATTTCCGTATATTTATCCATTTGTAACTTGCTCCTAAAGGCCACCCATTCAGAAATTGAAAGTTTCCTTAAATACTTCACCCATTCTGTTAACTGCATGTAGCTGTTTAGCTTTCAAGTGTTGTAATATTAATCTTTTAGCTATCAAAGGGACATGGAATATCCATTTGTGCTGAAGAGTTCTCTATAGCTGCAAGAAGGAAAAAAGGGGGGGCAACAGTTTAAGGGGGTGATCTTCTGCATGTTTAGAAAGACTGTGCAAGAATTGTAGGGTATTTTTCTGCCTAAGCATGTATAACTGTTGCAAATTCATTATCTCTAATTTATCATAAATTAATGTAATAAGTTTACAATGATTACCCAATCCAAAAACACAGAGTAATCACTTCTAAAATAATTATCTTTCCCCTCCACCCCCCAAACCATCAGATGCAATACAGTTCATTAATAAAATAAGTATTCCCTCCCATACTAATTAATTCTTTTAAAATAATCATCTTTCACTATCAGTCCTGAGTTGCAGGCAGTAGAATAAATTTATCTAAATATAATTATCTCTCCCAACTCTCAAGCCAGAGATAGGTCATCTCATACAGAGGGTGTTAATTTTCCTGATAGTGCAGTGAGGGAATTTAATTCTATAGTGTCTTTTGTCCCCAATAGCTTTTGTATAGAACTTTTGGCATGTGGTAGCAATGTAAATTTCCTCATGTTAAACTGGATGTTTTGAAATCAACCAATAACAGTTTGAGTTAAGGGCATGTGGAGATTAAATATGGAAAAAAACTTCACTTTCAATCCTAGGTTATTCATTTAAACAATTGGCTTTTTAAAAACACTCTGATGTTTAAGACTTCTTCCCTATATTTATGCTTTCTTTGCATGAAGTTGAGTGTCATCAGAACAACTCTTTTCATTAATCAATACTTTAGTATGGTTTGCCCTGAAAGGGGATTGTTAGCATTCAATTGGCATAGAGAGAAAGACAAACTCTCAAAAGAAGTTGAGAATTTCAAGATATTTGTGTAATTGTTTTATCCTTATTGCTTAAGGGCCATATTTTCAAAAAGGGTTTTGTATGAGTGCTCTTAAAAACTTAGCCCCAGGTTATTTGAAACATCTGGCCCTACTTAACTACTCAGTAGGAAAATCAAAACATGTTTGACTGATGAAATGAGCTTTACTTCCATCTGAGGAGCCCAACTGCAGATTTTAGAAAAACCCTGTGGTACCCACTTGGCCTTCCTGAGCATTCTTAGGGCACCCTGTTCTAAACAGCACTTCATATCTAAAAATAGCCTGTTAACACATATGTCCACTTGACACTCTGCATCTGTTTCTCCCCTGCCCCTAATGGGCCTCCTTCCTGAAGGTAGGTCAGTCATTTAAAGTCTCTTTCAAATGTTGCCACTGTTCTTAACAATGCACTACTTTCAGTGCAGGTAAAATAGAAAATAAATCTACCAGTTTGATTCATGAGGAAGTGTCTGTTCCAAAATAATTGAACTCAGTTTTGAAGAACCCTTGAAGGTCATCTAGTCCATTTCTGTGCAATAAGCAGGATTCTTTACTGGAGAAGGTATTGCTGATGCATTTTCTTCTTGGAAAAAGTCAAGAGAGCAAGTCTCTGTCACTTGGGGGCAGGGAACAAATCTACATCCAAGCACTTTTGAATGCCCAACTTCAATTAGCTTTTGCCACAGCTGAAGCCAGTTGCCTCCCAGCTGTTCTTCCTAAGTGTTCTATTTTTTCCTCTGCTGTTTGAAAAACTCTTACATCCCACCCCACCTTGATTTTGCTTTTCTAAGCTCAGCCTTCCTATGAAATGTGTCAGGTATGCCATAATTTAACCCAGCACTGAAAAATGTTAATTTCTCCCACACATGCCTAAACCAGCAGTGTATGAGTATATAGACTTGCCTAGACTCATTCAGATTTGTGTATGGCTCATAGCACCTGGAGGCCCAGTTTGAACATAACAGTAGCCCATGGGTTGTCAGAGGTGAGCTGAAGTGTGCTACCTTCTGCATACTTGCCACCTGCACTTTTCATCCACTTGAAACCCAAGGTGTGTTATTGCTTAAACTCTGGGTTGTTTAGACCTTGACAACCCAGAGTATTGGGCTCAGAAGTCAGAACTAGCAATCTATTCCTAGGTTCTTTACAAAATACGCACAAAGGAGAAGTAGTGGGCAGGAAGCAGTGAGCCTGCCAGCATGAGTTGTTTAACCATGAATTGGCATGATGTGTGAACCAGGTCATAGTACAGTGTGTGGGGAGAGCAGCAAAAAGCCCAGAAATTGTTCACTTTGGTGAGCAACATTTGCTTTCATGTTCAGATAGTATGAAGGTCATAGTTTAAAAGCAGTGTTGTCTTTTTTTAATTCAGCAAACTTCTGTGCTGAGCATGATGGATTCAGGTTGTTGAACTTAATTGCTGAAACATTTTTCTTCACAAAAATAAGGAAGATTAGCCATTTTACTTGTTACATCCATTCATGGAACCACAAGAGACTCTAATAAGTTTCAGGGAATTTCTCATGTATATGCACACACAGCTGTGTCAAAACTTTACACAGAGACATTCATATCATAAGCACAGTTAATACAAAAACATCAGAATAAACTGCTATATTTATTACAGTAAAAGTGAAGTGAACCAATAGAACCAGAACAGAATTTTGAATCCAGGCCTTGAATTACTAATCTTTGGATGCAGTTCTTAGGTCATATCCAGCTTATGGCAGTTCATTCTAATTAAATGAGACCAAAATCCTATACATGCATCCAGGAGTAAACACCATTGAGTTCAGCAAAATTGTACTGTAAATAATATACTTAGAACACCATGTTAAGTTTGCTGAAATGCATAGATTATGTCCTTTCCATCTGTGAAGCCATTTGTTGTATCCAAAAAAGTAGGTTCCCTTAACATAAATTTTAACAGTAGATAATGGCTGATAGCAGTGAATCCATTTTCATTTAGCTGCTTTCAAATATCAGTGTTTACAAATTGCTATCCCATCTTATATCTTAATTTCCATTTGTAACGAAATGCTTTTGTATGAAAGCCTCTTAGTTATCTGGTCTAAAGTTAATTCAGTATTCAGCATTGACTTGCTTGTGTTTGCTTTCTTCCATGTGTTTGCCTTCAGTACGTAAACACAGATATTGTAAACTGGGAGCTCCACTGAGAATGGCACTTTTTGTCAGATGTTTTATCTCTTCCTCATGGAACTTCATTATATACTGATGTCTCACTTTTCTCAAATCCAACATCATTTTAAAAAATATTTTATCCTGTAACATATATGTTATACCTGTGTTCAGTTTCATTGGTAGCTTTTGACGGGGGTAGGGAGATGCCAAGTCATGACAGCTGAATGTCAGTAGTTTGTTACCCAGATAGAAGGAGAAAAGCACAATTCACAATAACTGTTTCTCTTCTTTTTTCATACCAGGCAGGTAGAGATGATAGTTTTAGCCCAGGGTGACTTAACATATACTTCTTTCTTAAACCATTATTTATTGGAAAAGGCAGGCAGCCCCCAACATAGTGCTACAACCAAATTAGTATTTAGTTGTAAGGTTTTCTTAAACTGCAAATGTACAGAATAATGGCAAATCCATTTTATTTTGTGTTTGCACTTAAAATAATGTGTTTTTCAGGATTACAGTTTGTTATATGAAGAGGCAAAGTATTTTCAGCTTCAGCCCATGCTAGGAGAAATGGAACGGTGGAAACAGGATCGGGAAACAGGCCGATTTTCAAAATCCTGCGAGTGTTTGGTTGTGCGAGTTGCCCCAGATCTTGGAGAAAGGATTACCTTGAGTGGCGACAAGTCCTTGATAGAAGAGGTCTTCCCAGAAATTGGGGATGTGATGTGTAATTCAGTGAATGCAGGTTGGAATCACGATTCAACACATGTCATCAGATTTCCTTTAAATGGATATTGTCATCTCAATTCAGTTCAGGTATGTAGTCATCAATATGTCTACATTCACAATATGTTAATGGTAAGCTAGTGAAGGTGTGAACTAGAAGAAGTTTCTTTTAAATTATAAAAGTCATCATAGGTTTTATCAGTCTATTGAGTGATTGCTCACTGAAGGCTCCGATCATCAACATACTCTACATTTCCTCTACATGGCAGAAATACATCTCAGAATAAAGTTGTTAATGTACAAGATTCACTGCAAAATAGTTATTTTATATCCAAGATTTCTCACTTTCAAACAATTGCTTAAACTTTTCTCCCTACCCATTCATTTATTAAAATGGGCTGGTTTTGAAGTAATCACCAAAGGACCATTTGGGGGGTTTAAAACTGAGGTAATCTCTTTCAAATCACTGCTAGAAGCAGGATGCCCTACTCAAGTATTTGCCATTCCTCCACATATAACAAATAAACAGAGCGGAAACAGGATCACACTTGTGGACCACAGCCTCTGCACAATCAGCTCTAATGTGAGCTGTTTTAGGTATATTCTTCGTCATGGCCTCTGTGCGTCACACATATGGATACTGCGCCTGCACAGTGCCTTTGGCCGGAAGATTGATAGCTAACAGTTTGGCAGGAAAACTCCGCTCTCCTCCCCCATAACAGTATATATGGAGCGGAGTGTCCACCATTTTCCAGTTTTTGCGACCGCTGTTCGTTGTGCCTCGTGCTGCTTCGCTCTCACTTAGATCGTTACTCGTATTCCCTTCGCTTTGTTGAGTTCTCTTTCTCTCTTCCAAGTTAGTATTCCCTTGTTCATATTGCTCTTTACTGTTTCCAGTTAGTCTCTTCGTTTTTTCTCTTCTTGTTGTTCCTATAAAACAAAACCAAAAACTGAAAATATTATCTGCTCCCTCTATACTATCTTCTTTTTTCCTGCGATGGCGCAACGAGCGGCGTTCTGCAAGTGCGGAGCGTGTGGCTTTAAGATGCCCGCTGTGGACCCGAACAACCTGTGCCTCCTCTGTTTAGGGGAAGGCCACAGGACAGACAAATGCGGCCATTGCTTGGCCTTCTCTAAGCAGGCGAGAAAGAATAGGGAGAACTGCCTATGTAAACTCCTGTGGGACCAGGCTCTCCTACAATCGGACCAACTAGTCTCCTACAATCGGACCGACTAGTGGCTAAGCCTACTACAACCTCAGCTGCACCCGACCGCCGTCTGACTTCAACCGATCCGCCGCAACGTCTGGCATCTTCCTCTACTGCTCCGCCCTCATGCCCTTCGGATGAAGGTGCTCCTACCATGGGTGATCAGCCTGTTTCCCCGCCAAAGAAACAGTGGGAAAAGAGGAAACACAGCGACCCTGAAAAGCCATCTGTGCATAAGAAGGCCAAAAGAGATAAGGCTGAAAAGCCGGTTAAGAAACTGAAGAAACCCGAGCACTCTAAACATCAACACTCGGGTTTGGCGGCTTCCTCGGTCCCAACTGCAGTCACGGTACCGACACCCTCGGGTCCGACCATTCAGGCGGTGATGAGGGTTACCCATCCAGTCTGTCCACGCCGTACGGGATCTGAACTTCACCAGGATCCACCTCACGGCTCGATTTTCGACGGCGAAATACAAGATTCTCTGCCGAGGGCTCAGCCCCCGAAGCCTATGCCTCCTGTTCGGCTCGATACCAAGACTGGAATGTCTCCTCCTCCGATGCCCGATCCGACGATTGGTACCATTCCCGGTATTCTTCCGCTCCAAGATGGGCCGACTACCAATCCGTTGGCTACTACCCGGCTGCTAGAGATCGATCCTCTCCACCAGCTCCTCGGGATTGCTTCCATTCCACAGCCCTGAGAGATGCCCCACAGGCAGCATCTAGGGAGAGCGGTAGATCGGCATCACCAGGAGATTCCTCCTCCAGCGTCCCAGCTCCCTATTGGGTGGACTCAGACAAGTCCGAGGTTGATTCAACTTCACCTGATGCTGCAGTCACCTTGCAAGGGCCTGTATCACCAGAAGAGCCACACATCTCTTTCGCTGAGCTGATGTCCAGGCTGGTGAGGTCGCTGGAAATCGAGGCCAACCAACAGCCTGGTCCCAGCACTGATTGCTTCTATGATGTGGTACGGGGCAAACAATCGACCTCCATCGCGTTGCTGCTCATCACAACTCTGCGACAAGCGATGACTCAACCATGGGACCTCCCGGCTCACCCCCAACCAACTTCAAGAAGATATGAAGCCATGTACCGGGTTCAGGAGGGGGACATTCCGTTCCTCCTTCGTCACCCCAAACCGAACTCGGTGGTGGAGTCTTCTCAGGGCCAGGAGGCACGGGGTCACACTGCGCCCCGGGACAAGGAGGGGAGGAAGATTGGCTCCCTTGCGCATCGAGTCTATGCGGCCTCTGGACTTGGCTTGCAAATATCGAACTATGAGGTGACATTGGCACGCTATCAATATTTTATAATGCAGCGCCTGGACAACATCATTGCCGCTCTCCCAGATAACCAAGGTGACCTGCCGCGGGTGTTCGTAAAAGAGGCCATGCAGGTTGCGGTTCAACAGCTATCCACAGCCAGACATCATGTGGACACGGACTCGAGGGCTCTCGTCGGCGCCATCTCCCTCCTGAGGCACGCTTGGTTGCGTAATTGCAACTTTCCAGAGGAGATAAAGAGGAGGATCGAGGAGATGCCCTTTGATGGGTCTGGCCTCTTCAATGCAAAGACCAACCACAAGTTGAAGGTTCATGAGTCGAGGATGATGGCCTGGCGTATGGAGTTGCAACCTCAGCCTCGACGTAAGTGGTCATGGACCCGTCCACAATATTGGCAACAATATCCACCCCGACAACAGCCACAGCACCGCCAACAACGCCGCAGACAGCAACCATCCCAACAATTCCAGCAAGGCCGCCACCACTTTGACAGGGACAAACACCAGCGCTGATGGGGTGAGCGAACCTTTCCTTCCAACCCCACCCTTCCCCCTCTCATTTGTGGACCGACTGAAAGGCCAGCTCCCCATTTGGGAGTCCATTACATCTGATTGGTGGGTGTTATCCATTATTCAGCACGGATATCGAATAGAATTCGATATCGTTCCATCATCGAGTCCCATCTGGTTTACTCCATACTCACCAGTGTTGTTAAACGAGGTTCATCAGCTCCTTTCTAAAGGAGCCATTCGTCGCTTACCTCTATCAGAAGGACTCCACGGATTCTATTCTAGATACTTTACTGTCCCAAAAATGGATGGAGGTCTTCGGCCAATATTGGACCTAAGAGTTCTTAATAAATTTATAACACCAAAGAAGTTTGGGATGACCACACTTCAAAAAATCCTGCCGTTGCTGAGGAGAGTGGACTGGCTCACCTTATTGGACTTGAGGGATGCCTATTTTCATATTTCGATCCATCCATGTCATAGGCATTTCCTATGTTGCTTCTGAAATCTACGAATTCACGGTGCTCCCGTTTGGACTGGCCACCGCCCCGAGGGTCTTCAGGAAGTGTATGGCTCCTGTCGACGCATACCTCTGACTATACGGAGTTCAAATATATCCCTACCTCGATGACTGGTTGTTGGTTTCCCAGACCAGAGAAGGACTTTGTTCCTCTGTGAACATGGCGATTCAACAGTGGCGAAGGCATTTTTCCCTCAAGACAGATAACACACTCTTACTCGACACATCCATCGGATTCGACGAGACGGAACTGTTCCTGCCCAATCTGTTCAAAGACTATTGGGGCACATGGCAGCATCCATTGCTGTAGTTCCACATGCCAAGCTTCGGCTCTGCCCCCTTCAGCTATTCTTCAACAAGATTTTCCAGCCGCAGACAGATTTGCCAACAAAGTTGATTCGACTCCCGTCCTCCATTCTACAATCCCTGCTATGGTGGACGGTATCAGACAACTTAAACATCGGAGTCCCATTCTGACCTCGGTGCCCTACAGTGACTCTCGGTACCAATGCATCTCTGCTTGGATGGGGAGCACTGTGCTCTGGCCTACGCACTCAGGCTGTTTGGAATCGACAGGAGTCCAGGAATCATATCAATTTCCTGGAACTTCTAGCAGTATCCAAAGCTCTCCAATCATTCGAGGACGTTCTTCGCCATCAAGTCATTCAGATAACCTCGGACATTGCTACAGTCTTTTACTTGAACAAGCAAGGGAGGACAAAGTCACCAACGTTAGCCGGGCTATCGATGCAGTTCTGGGAGTGGTGCATCCCGTGAAACATTCCCTTGATAGCAGTACACCTAGCCAGTACAGACAACGTGGAAGCCGATCTCTTAAGCAGACATATGTCCACATCTCACGAATGGAAACTGGATCGTCGGACATGTGACCGGCTGTTCCAGCGATGAGGTCTCCCAAACATAGACTTATTCGCCACCCAGCAAAACAGGGTATGCAAGACTTTTTGCTTGAGAGCGGGAATCGGACAGGGGTCGTCCGGGGATGCCTTTATGATCCCTTGGAACGATATGATCTTTTACGCTTTTCCCCCAGTTCCCCTCATTATGAGAGTAATATCAAAGATAATCAACGACGGGGCCACAGGACCGCTGCTAACGCCATGGTGGCCACGCCAAGCCGTTAGCTATCAATCTTCCGGCCAAAGGCACTGCGCAGGCACAGTACCCATATGTGTGACTGCACAGATGGCCACGTGAAGAACATCAGTTACAGGTAAGCAACCTGCTTTTTACAGATGCATAGACTTTTGTAACCCTATTACTTTATTTATGTTAACTACTGGTAATTTTTAAAAGGTGAACCTTTCAACATCACAGTAGTCCAAGTCTATGCCCCAACCTCTTGACCAGTTCTATGAAGGCCTACAACACCTTCTAGAATTAACACCAAAAATGATGTCCTTATCATCATGGGGGATTGGAATGCTAAAGTAGGAACCAAAAGATAACCAGAATAACAGGCAAGTTTGGCCTTGGAGTACAAAATGAAGCAGGGCACAGGATGGTAGAATTTTGTCAAGAGAATACGATGGTCATAGCAAACA